CAGGAGTAAGCTCAGACTGCGTTGCTCCTCCTTGGAGATCCCTCCCAGACAGGGGCATGGGTTGGGGGCTGGAAGGGAGTAGTTCAGGTGGGGCCACTGTGACACTGCAGCTGGAAGGGTTCTCAGTGTGTGTGTGTGTGTGTGTGTGTGTGTGTGTGATATTGTGAGCCCTGCAAGCTATGTTGTTAAATAGCAGTCTGTATGTCCACATATGTGTGAATGTGCGAGCTTCTGGATCAGTGTATGTTAAGATGAACACGTGTGTATGCTTGTGAGTGTCTTTGTGTATGTGTGTATAACGATGCCTGACTGAAGCGTGCATGCGTGGAAGTGCTCCTGGATCTGGGTGGCCATCTCCATGTGTGCAGCTGTGTGTCTGTGTGACTGTGACTGTCTGAAACATGTCTTGGGAGTGGTCTCCTGGGGATCGCTACGTATGTGAGCATCTATGCCTGGGGATGTACTTATGAAATACCGTGTACGCAGGCATTTCGGATGTGTGTCCATTTACACGTTAACCTGTGTGGGTGTGCGGCTGGCTGGGTGGTGTTGGAGGAAATGAGAGGATCAAGGACAGGAGAATGCTTTAGGAATATACATGATGGGCCAAACCTTCAGAAGCAGGCATTGGAAAAGAGGAACTGTGGCCTTTGGGACTGAGTGTAACTTGTTCAATGGGGCCCTCCTAGCTCCCCAAAACACTCACCCACACCCAACCCCCACACCTGCAGGTCTGCACCCAACGACATTCTGGGCCTCCGCCTCCCCCCGGAGCCTGTGCTCAATGCCAACACGGTATGCCTAACGTTGCCGGGCCTGAGTAGGCGGCAGATGGAAGTGTGTGTGCGCCACCCCGACGTGGCCGCCTCAGCCATCCAGGGCATCCAGATCGCCATCCACGAGTGCCAGCACCAGTTCCGGGACCAGCGCTGGAACTGCTCTAGTCTCGAGACTCGAAACAAGATCCCCTACGAGAGTCCCATCTTCAGCAGAGGTAGCTGCCCCTCGCCCTTGCCCTTCTGCCCACCCCATTCAGCACCCCACCCCCAAAGCTATCTGCCAACCATCCCCACTGCCTCAAGCTGGCAACCTCCCCAGGTGCCCATCTACCAACCATGCTGCTCCTCTGCTCTTTCTGGTCTTGGACAGTCCATGGGGGCCAGCCAAACGGGGAAGATGTGTCTCCAGCCTGCGCTGGGTGGGCTGACCGTAGCAGGTTCCGTGCCCGAGAGTTGACTCCTGGGTTATCCTGCCTGGTCATTGACACTGTATATCTCAAGCCTGGGAAATATAAGTATCTGTCACCTTCCTCAGTTTACCCTCTACCCTCTAGTAAACAGCACTTGGGATGGAGAGCCCGTGATAAAGTACCCAGAGTCAGTACGGAGGACTTTTGCCAAATGGGGTAGGTGAGGGAAGCTGGGGCAGGTAAAATGTCTGTACTTCTGCAGAAGCTCTTCCCGGCAAGGTACACCACCAGCCTCTGTGTCATTCTCACCGCCCCCGAAAACCTTCTCTGAATCAGAGGCACTGGGTGTGTGCCCGCCTCCTGCCCAGCAGGCCCGACCGCCCTGCCAATCCCTCTTCCCCTCACAGCCCAGAGAAGCCACAGCCCGCTCCCTGTCCTCCCTCTGTGACTTCTGAGTGACCCAGGGCCCACCCTGACAACCCTTAGGGTTGGAGATGGCAGGAGGCCTTGTCACTCATTTCTGTTCCCACCCGTCTCCTGCCCTGGTACCTTAGGCCTTGCCTCAGGCCTTTTGGGGGAAGATAGGCGTTATCCATCTCTCCTCTCAGCTGCTTGAGTGGGACAGTGTGGGGACCTGGCTCTGTGAGACTTGTCCAATTTTCTTGCCCAGTGGAGGAGGAGTTGTACCCCTATATTCTGTGCCCTTGGGGTCGGTCCAGAGGCTTCTAGGAGAGCCAGACTCTAAAGCACCCTATTCCGGAAAGAACTCGGCAAGCTGGGGCCTTTCCCTTTTCACCAGGACCCCTACTTGCATCCCCTGGGCCCCCAAGTCAGGGGCCACCGCTGCTTCCTCCAGCCCGGCCCCAGGCCGCCCGCCCCGCCCCCGCGCGCC